TCATAACTACTTATCATAAGTGGTGGGATTATATTCCGATTTGTCAAGGGCAGTGATGTTTTAAACAATCACTTTTCAATGAGATCGTGGGCAAGCCCATTCCAGGGCATGCAATGGCAAGTGTCGATGGAGGGACATACTGTACGGGTGACTTCTGTCACAGGTCAGGGAAACGCATGGAGAAAGAATTCGAAACAAACCAAGCTGCATTTAAAGCTGAGAGAGCTTTTTATTTTGGCTCCTCAAGAAGTTATCTCAGAAACAGGGCACTGCCATCTCTGATGGAAGTGAGCCTGTAGCTCTAGTGCGTTTGATGCTGTCCTCCCAACTTCAGGACTTAAAAGATCCAAAATCCAAGTAAAAAAAAAGGCTGTACAGGGTTACTGGTGGTACCTTACCACGCCGTGTACGTGCATGGATGTCGGGAGTCGGCCATGCACGCCAGTGAATCGCTGAATGATGGACAATTTGCACATGTCGGGTTTGCGGTGACTGCCGACGCCGCGTTTATAAAAATGGCTTCTGAGGAAATTGAAACTGTCGTAATCAGTGCAAAATCTGTGCAAATTTGTTATAAGGTTTACGCGGAAAAAAAGAAAACAATCTGTTTTAGCAAGTTCATATGTACAGTAAGCGAAAGTTCTTACCTTTCCGTCTGTGCGTTTATATTTGGAGCATTGTGAAGATCTAACTTAATGTGACATTTTGATCATGCTCTCCTTTGTTGGCGATTTTATCGCTGTATCGCCAAAATCGCGGGGGGGGGGGGGAATATATACTAAAGAAGAAATCAGTATCACCAGCGCTAGGGTAAAGTACTACATAGTACTACAAAAATTATGTATGCAGGTACCAAATACCAAAAAATACTATGAGTGATGTGCCCACTTATATGCTGAAGTACTGCATACTTCAGTTTGCTACTAGTAAAAAAATGTAAAACGATTCCGGTTCCACATTGCATTGTACTGGCCTGAAGATGTACCTCCTGGAATGTCAAGGTCATGTGATCTGACTTCCGGTGTTAACAGAAGTGCAATTATTAGAGATTGTATTTTCAATGTTAAAAGTGACAGTTTTTTGATAATTCATTAAATTATTTTGTACCGGCCAATAGACAATAAAAAAAAACATTTGGGAACAGCTTTGTGGTTGTTCAGTTACAACCACAATCTCTAGTTTATTTTTTCCAAGATGGCCACTTGGCCTACGTTGTCTATGGAGTCTTGGACATTATTTTTCTAAAGAAAGTAAAAAATGATTTTTATGCCCCGCGGCGAAGCCGAAGGGGCATACTGTTTCCGCCTTGTCCTTCCGTGGGTGGGTGGGTGTGTGCGTGAGCTTGTCTTACATACGCAGTGTGGACTTCCGAACAAAAGACGTCCACATAATGTAGGTAGCACCGACGTTGTGTGGACTTGCCCCACGTCCACACAGTGTTTCCCCATTTCTGGAAAACAGGTTTAGAGGCATTTTTGGGTTAGGTTTATCTGTAGCAGAATGAAGAGAAACACTAAAGGGAATCATAGAAAAAAAATTGGGTTGAAAGAGTTTTCACAGTTTGAGAAAAATGAGTTTTTTCACTGGTTTTTCTTAACTACACGAAAGCAATGGAAAGTCCACACTAGTCATGTGAAACAAGTGTGGGTGTGTGTGTGGGTGAGCTTGTCTTACATACGCAGTGTGGACTTCCGAACAAAAGACGTCCACATAATGTAGGTAGCACCGACGTTGTGTGGACTTGCCCACGTCCACACAGTGTTTCCCTATTTCTGGAAAACAGGTTTAGAGGCATTTTTGGGTTAGGTTTATCTGTAGCAGAATGAAGAGAAACACTAAAGGGAATCATAGAAAAAAAATTGGGTTGAAAGAGTTTTCACAGTTTGAGAAAAATGAGTTTTTTCACTGGTTTTTCTTAACTACACGAAAGCAATGGAAAGTCCACACTAGTCATGTGAAACAAGTGTGGGTGTGTGTGTGGGTGAGCTTGTCTTACATACGCAGTGTGGACTTCCGAACAAAAGACGTCCACATAATGTAGGTAGCACCGACGTTGTGTGGACTTGCCCACGTCCACACAGTGTTTCCCCATTTCTGGAAAACAGGTTTAGAGGCATTTTTGGGTTAGGTTTATCTGTAGCAGAATGAAGAGAAACACTAAAGGGAATCATAGAAAAAAAATTGGGTTGAAAGAGTTTTCACAGTTTGAGAAAAATGAGTTTTTTCACTGGTTTTTCTTAACTACACGAAAGCAATGGAAAGTCCACACTAGTCATGTGAAACAAGTATGGGTGGGTGGGTGTGTGTGTCCGGACAAATCTTGTCAGCACGATAACTTGAGAAATACTTAACATATGAAGTTCAAATTTGGTTTGTGGATTGTCCTTGGTAATCCTAAGAAGCCTTTTGCATTTGGGGCCGAAAGGTCAAGGGTCAAGGTCACAGTGGCTGAAACAATAGAAATTTTGTCAGCACGATAACTTGAGAAATACTTAACATATGAACTTCAAATTTGGTTTGTGGATTGTCCTTGGTAATCCTAAGAAGCCTTTTGCATTTGGGGCCGAAAGGTCAAGGGTCAAGGTCACAGTGGCTGAAACAATAGAAATTTTGTCAGCACGATAACTTGAGAAATACTTAACATATGAACTTCAAATTTGGCTTGTGGATTGTTCTTGGTAATCCTAAGAAACCTTTTGCATTTGGGGCCGAAAGGTCAAGGGTCAAGGTCACAGTGGCTGAAACAATAGAAATTTTGTCAGCGCGATAACTTGAGAAATACTTTACATATGAACTTCAAATTTGGTTTGTGGATTGTCCTTGGCAATTCTAAGAAGCCTTTTGCATTTGGGGCCAAAAGGTCAAGGGTCAAGGTCACAGTGGCTGAAACAATAGAAATTTTGTCAGCGCGATAACTTGAGATATACTTTACATATGAACTTCAAATTTGGTTTGTGGATTGTCCTTGGTAATCCTAAGAAGCCTTTTGCATTTGGGGCCAAAAGGTCAAGGGTCAAGGTCACAGTGGCTGAAACAAAAGAAATTTTGTCAGCGCGATAACTTGAGATATACTTTACATATGAACTTCAAATTTGGTTTGTGGATTGTCCTTGGCAATCCTAAGGAGCCTATTGCATTTGGGGTCGAAAGGTCAAGGGTCAAGGTCACAGTGGCTAAAACAATAGGAATCTTGTATTTATTCTGAGATCATAGGGATTAGGGATTAATTCATATAAAACCTACAGAAGACACTAATGCTGTCAATGAACGTTCCATTTGACCCAAGGTACATGTAAGTTGATGTTAGAGTGGTGTTATGTCATGGAAACAGTCACGGTTGCGGGGCATTTGTGTTTGTAAACACACCTGACTTGTTTTTTGTTTGTTTACTGATTTTTTATTTTTTTTTTTGATTTTTTAAAGTTACATCTCAGCTAATCTTTAATACCATGAATGAAGTGGCATCAGCACTCTGCATTCATTATGCAACTTGTGAAATGCCATTACATCATTACATGTTACTATTGGCCAACCATTTTGTGCTGCCCAAACATCCTGTACTTGCTACAAATGGTCTCCATTTAGAATGTCTGTGGGCCTTGCAAAGCCAATAATTTTAAAAGCTATATCATCCAAATGTCAATTGCAAACATCAATTACAAGAATTGTTTCAAACAATCTTTCCAAAAGCCTTCAATGGTGTGGGTTTTTTGTTTATTGTGTGTTTTTGTTTGTTAGTTTGTTTTTTGTGGTCATGCTTTTTGTAGGCCCAAAAACTTCATCTGCCGCCATCACTTTTTTTCCTTCTCGCTTGAGTGATGAGGCGAAGGACATGAAGGATTGCATACTTCAAAAGTGTGCAATGTTCTCTTTTCTGATCTCTTTATTTTCCAAAATACATATAAGAACTTGCTCCAATAAAGCTAGAAAAGCTGAAATGTGCAATAACAAAAAAAACCACTTGGCAAAATGTTTTAAATGTGCAATTTCATTTTTGTGTGTCTCTTTGTCATTACATGACTCTTTTCTGGAACTTTGTTTTGTAATGTAAATTTTTTCTTTTGTATAATCAAGGCTTTGCAGAATTAATGATTTGTTCCCACCCAACTAGGCAACCAAAAGAGCTTTTATTGATCCTGCCTTGCAAAATAGGTCCTACATATTGACAGGAAAAAAAATTAGTCCCTGCAAACACTGGCAATGGTAACGTTGGGCAGGCGTGACTGTGTATATTACTTGCGTCAGATGAATAATTGATGGCTGTAGCAAGTCACACAGATCAATATTGATAGATGGAAGAAGATACAAGGACAAAGAGAAAAGCATAAGGGCAGAGTGTGGTGAAAACCCCAAAAAGGTGTCATCATGGCAAGATGTATACTGTGTCTCTTTCATTAAAACAGGCCAAGTCACTGGGAAACATTACATTTGAGTCTAAATTTATCTTCATTGCCCTTTTTTCACTACAAAGTTTTCATAATGACAGAACACAAATTACACAATGCATACAATGTAAGTACACTGCACAAATCTCAAGCTCCCCCCTGAAAAAAGGGATTCACCAAAACAGCAGAAATGAAACAAAAGTCCATTATGATACCCTGTACATTTTTTAAAACTCATCTGATCTTGCACTTAAGTGTTTGGTGTTGCATACACAGGAGTTCTTTTGTTATGTCCCACAGAATATAGTGTACGAGTATACACATTGTAGATACATTACATAGGAATATATGGAACATGCAGGCTGATGGCAAGGAGTATATGTAACAAGAATGCTAACGTGTTGTGTTTTTTTTTGCGTAATAACTTAACTGAGTATGCGGCGGGGTGGAGGCAATGGCTTTCTTTTTTTCATCATTGGGATGTAATGTACATGCACCTGCACTTGCACCTGCACCTGCAGTTGTCTGACAGTCCATAGATAAAGCCAGAATTCACTTTGTAAGACCACAGCAAGCTTCACTGAAAACTTCGTTGTCGTTTTGTTTTTTCCCCAGCTCTTTGGAGAACCCGACAAACAGACGACACAAGAAAGGACAAGGAACTTCACGTTAAGACCACTCTGAGAGAACTCATCATTTACCTGGTCTTTCTGGTCTTTTTGTGCCTGCGTAAGTATGCTAGACACTCTAAACACTCTAAACCGAAAAAATGATAAATTTAAACAGTGACATCATTTTGGTCTCTTTCTCTGTTGCATCTAGCCCATGTAAAGCTGGTGTGTCATTTCCTGAGTCAAAGTACATGTAGTGGCCATTTACAAAAAAAAGCTGGCAGCCATCTTGAAAAATAGCCCGGCCGGTCATTCTTGAAAAAAAAAGGAAAAAAAAGGGCCTCCTCCTTCCTTTTTTTTCAAAAAGGCAGGACGGTAAACATGGTGTGTTTTTTTTATTTGGCCTTATTGTATGTGTCAAGCAGCTACAATGCATGTAACATGTATTGTTCACTTGTTCAGCCTTTGCTCTTGCAAATAATGTTTAGAGTTTGTTTAAAATCAGTCCCTGTTCGGTGTGTCGAGGTGTGTGAGTGTGTGTGTGTGTGTAATTCCTTCTGAAAATACAATGGTGTCCCTTTATTGTAAGTAAGCATACATGTACATGTACATTGTCAAAGCTCTATAATTGTAGTCTGGCTCACCTTGTATCAGAACTCTCATTAATTGAAGTGCTTAATATTGCGCACACACTGGCGGTTGCCATCTCCAAATTGCCATCTCCAAATTGACAGCCAGTTGTGGTGGCAGTTGCCATCACAACTGGCCTGTTGTTTCCAGTTTCCATGGCAACAATTGATCAGGCGTGAATTTGTTTGCGCACGCCGAGCTAGCGTTCTGCTCTTGCAAAAGGTTGAATGCATACTAATGCCGAGCGGAGTCTGGTGCAATGCCAAAAATCGTTGAGTTGTAATTGAAAAGTAATTAACCTTCACTGGGTCTTTGAAACGTCTCACAAGCTGTGCGTAAATTACAACTGACGTCAGTCTGTCACTAGACAACAGGAAGCAGATCGATTTTTGTAGGATATGGATAAAAAAATATGCAAATGTTGCAGGGCGACTAATCATTGTTATTAAAATTCCTTTTTTTTGTAAGGAGAGTCTTGAGATACCGGGTAGCATCCATACATTGGATCATGATTTATTTTATTTTATTTTTTATTTTATTTCTTTCTGGTAATGAAACCAAGGATTCCTCAAAAGTGCCCTAAGCACTGTACCGGTAGCTCGAAAGCCTGAAGAAGCCTGTAGAGAGAAGACAATGAGAAGAAATTACAGTTTTAGAGGTGGGAGGAAAGGCCCAGATGAATATTCTGAGGAAAACCCACGGAATCAGGTAGGGACTGAAAACCCAGTCCACATATTGGCCCGGGCGGGATTCGAACCTGGGTCACAGCAGTGGAAGGCGAGGAAAGTACCGCTACGCCAACCTGACTCCCCTTTTTCAAGGTTCATTAGTTAAACAGCTGCATTGACTGATTATAAATAACAAGTAAGGAATCACATCTAGCCAAAAAAAAAGCATTTTGAATGATTATATTTTATGCTTTCAGTCTTGTCCCCTCTAAATTCTTGTCTTTCTTTTTTCAGTCGTGTTTTTTATTTTGCTTATTGGCCTCCATGGCACTGTAGTAACAACACTAAAGTTGCTGTAGCTATGCAAGCTGCATACTATGTACATGCACATGTATATGATGCTTTGGGAAAGTGTTTATTTTGTGTACATTTTTGTGGGGAGTTTTTTTTGGGGGGGGAGCAAATTTAAGAAGGAAAGAAAGTCATGCAGTGGTTGTTTACTTGTCCAAGTGTGTATGACATGTAGGAACAAATTTTAAACTCTTGTGTTTTAGACAGATCAATGAACTTATTCCAACAGTTTCATGTAATCACCTGCGTTTCTGGCAGTGCAAATAGTGGAATTGCTTTGTGGAGATCATTACATTAATCTCCAAGTTGTATTGGGTGTTTCAAACGAGGGTCCTCTTGAAAGCTAGTGCTTTAAAATATTGATGGGGGGACAGCTATATGGAAATGAGTACAATATGCACAGGTACATGTAAGGTGCTAGAGGGTTTGTGCACAGTTGCACAGAGGCTCAGTAGGGAGAATTTAGAATTCTTGTTGCTGCATTGTGATGTACACTTTGTTCACATGCTGTGTAAGTGAACACTATTGAGATTTCTTTGGGTGGTGCCATAGAATTTATAGCAGTTTTAAGGATGCCTGGGATGTTTATTTTCTATAAATATGGACACTTTAGGTTAGCCTTTGTGGTTTATAGTTTGCCTGCCTTTTTTTTTAATACAGGAAATAGAGTCAGAAATAACTCTTCTCAAATCACTGAGGAGAGCTAATCATACTCATTAAAATATAAAGATAAAATAATAATGATCAAATATATAACTAGAACTATGTGGTTGTGAGTGAACAACCACAGAGCTGTTCGCAACATGTTTTTGATTGTCTGTTGCACAGTACAAAATGATTCAATGATTTGTTCTAAACAAATTTTACTATTAAATTGAAATTATAATATGAATCGGTGATGGTCTTGTTCGGGACACATTTTCCGAAGAGAAGCTGGTTGGGTTCTGAAAACATAAAATTGAAAATATATTTTTGGGAACAGGTCTGTTTGTACGAGATATAGACATATAAGTAGAGATCTATGTCTGTTTGCAACAGAAGATAGGGCTTTTCCGCATTATGATTTGTTTTTATCAATAATACGTCCCTGACTATGCATGAACATAAAATCTGTCAAAGTTAGCTGGAAATCGTCTAAAACGGTCACTGTGGACAGGATTTGACCTCAGCAACACGTGCGCTGTGCGCGGGCTGACTGACATACGATATGTACAACGTACGTGCATGTACATGTACAGGTACATTGTGGACGTCCTGTGCATGTTTTAAAGCAGAGGTATTGTCAACCTGAAGTTTGAAGCGTGCGCAGGGCATGTCCGAGTTTGCTTATTGCCTCGAAGCTTTGAAATGTTTAAGACCTACCCTTAAATAGACAATTAAAGTAAAAACTAATATAAAAACTGCCATGGTTGATTTTTCAGGAATTTTCTAAGGAAAAAGGGTCTTTTCATTATAACTTCCGGTCTGATGACGTCATACACCTTAAACTTTGCACACGTCTTAAGTGGGTCAAGGTCATCATATACACCAATATTTAGGCGATTCCAACAAACTTCGCCACAGACATCTATTCAAAATACATTTTTGAAAATGTTCAACCTGTCGCTAGAGGGCGCTCGAAGATTGCATGACGTCATCGGTAGATGATTTGAAGAATACTATCGGCCAAGAGACTAACACCGTTAAAAGCAAGTTCATATCTATTACCACTTTCAAATAATAAGCCACTTCCGGTTTTGGCCTTTTTCGACCGGAAGCAAGGGTCACGTGATTTCACGCACACTGAATGAAATAAAGACCTCAACCTACTCTACCACTTGCCGGCAACAGAATGCTGCGGACGCGTACGGTTGATTTCTTATACATTTTTAAATATTAAAATTGTCACAATTTAATTGCCTATAAATAAACACCGGATGACGTCATCATGACGTCATCATTACACAATGTTGTTTGAATTAGGGTCTTTGCTTGGACAAAGATTGGTGTAAATGAATTACTGGCAAAGAGTCGAAAAATGCCCTCTGAAAATTGACATTTAAAAAAAAAATTCTGTGTACAAAGTCTATGGGAAAAATTAAATATTCAAAATTCCATAATAAATCACGTGATGACGTCAGCATGACGAAAAGTTTCGGCACACATCCTCAGATGATGATTAATAACTATGCTGAGTTTAAAGTTGATCGGATTTAAAATAATTGCCAAAGTGGCTTGTAGAATAAAATCGTGTACAAAACCTATGGGGAAAGCGGAAAAAGAAAAAAAAAAAAAACTAGAAATGTGTTTGTGGACTAACACTGAGCTGTTTCGACCGTTTTATTAATGACTGCCGTAAAGGAGTTTCATCCAGGTCGAATGAACATGTACATGCGTATTCTATACAAAAAGTGTCTATCCTACGTCCCTGACTATGCATGAACATGAAATCTGTCAAAGTTAGCCGGAAATCGGCTAAAACGGTCACTGTGGACAGGATAGACCTCAGCAACACGTGCGCTGCGCGCGGGCTGACTGACATACGATATGTACAACGTACGTGCATGTACATGTACATTGTGGACTGTGCATGTTTTAAAGCAGAGTTATTGTCAACCTGAAGTTTTAAGCGTGCGCAGGGTATGTCCGAGTTTGCTTATTGCCTTGAAGCTTTGAAATATTTTAGACCTACCCTTAAATAGACAATTAAAGTAAAAACTAATAAAAAAACTGCCATGGTTGATTTTTCAGGAATTTTTTAAGGAAAAAGGGTCTTTTCATTATAACTTCCGGTCTGATGACGTCATACACCTTAAACTTTGCACACGTCTTAAGTGGGTCAAGGTCATTATATACACCAATATTTAGGCGATTCCGACAAACTTCGCCACAGACATCTATTCAAAATACATTTTTGAAAATATTCAACCTGTCGCTAGAGGGCGCTCGAAGATTGCATGACGTCATCGGTAGATGATTTGAAGAATACTTTTAGCCAAGAGATTAACACCGTTAAAAGCAAGATCATATCTATTACCACTTTTAAATAATAAGCCACTTCCGGTTTGGGCCTTTTTCGACCGGAAGCAAGGGTCACGTGATTTTACGCACACTGAATGAAATAAAGACCTCAACCTACTCTACCACTTGCCGACAAAAGAATGCTGCGGACGCGTACGGTTGATTTCTTATGCATTTTTAAATATTAAAAGTGTCACAATTTAATTGCCCATAAATAAACACCGGATGACGTCATCATGACGTCATCATTACACAATGTTGTTTGAATTAGGGTCTTTGCTTGGACAAAGATTGGTGTAAATGAATTACTGGCAAAGTGTCGAAAATGCCCTCTGAAAATTGACATTTTTTTTTAAATTTCTGTGTACAAAGTCTATGGGAAAAATTAAATATTCAAAAATCTATAATAAATCACGTGATGACGTCAGCATGACGAAAAGTTTCGGCGCACATCTTCAGATGGTGGTCT